AGGAATGCAGACACACTTATCTTCTGCAGTATTCATGCAAAAGTAGTTGTTGCTCTGAAAGATTATCAGAAAAATGGTTCTTTCTAAATTAAAAAGGCAGAAAATTAAATAGAACTCACCATCCTCATGCCCTTCTCTATTTCTCCGTCGATGTCTGTCTCGTCGGTGGCTAATAACCGACTCTGTTCCTGTTTCATTGTCCAGGCCATCCCGGCTGCTGGCAGCATTTGGACTGTTAGAGAACAAATAGGAAGAAACAGTGTAGTCATCTCTTTTTTTTTTTTTTTTGATAAAAGCTATTGCAGTAGTGAGCACGTTTGTTTAGAAGCCAGAAAACTATTCCATGGATTAGCTGCAGTCTTGCTGCAGCACTGCTCTGCTCACCTCAAAAGTACCTGAGGGATGAAAAGACAGTTCAGTATCCATGCCCTGAGACACAGCACTATTTGCACAAGTAGTATCATTATGATATTGGAAAAGCTCCCACAAGACTGTTGCATGAAATTTCCATAGGAAAAAAACCTACTGATGCATTAAGAAAAGGGATCATTTTAGCATGCGGCGAGATGACAACTAACTACAAGACAGCTTTAGCTGCTAACACACTTGCAAAGGAAATGGGATTCCAGCACAGTCACATCATGAGAGCTGTAATACAGAATACTGAATATGTAAGACTGCTTATTTGGAACCATTTGTTTCAAGATATCTGCTGAGGAAAAAAAATCAGCCTTGTTAAAGTAGAGTTGGCTGGAGGAAAGGGGAAGATGGAGATGTTCTTTTTTCCCCTGCTGAGCAGAACTAGCTTAGCTATTTAGTCTTACCCTCAGACTCAACCTGTTTTATGTATCTCTGCTATTCTTACATTTAATAAGTTATCTTGAAGCACTCACACAGGAGGAAATAAGAAAAGCCTCTTCAAGTGCTGGCAAAGGCCATAGCTCATTTTAATGGACTAAATTGTGGAAACTGATCTAAAGGGCCTGAAAATATAATATTGCATGATCTGACATGGGCTAGTGCTCTGCTGTGAAAGATTTCCCTTAGAAAGCTACTAGTCATACTCTTCCTCTCTGTCCCACAAATACCACCCATTTAAAAAGGAGTCCCAATTCACATCTGCCCTTTTCACCTGTTATTTATGCCTGACATCCTACTTATGCACACAGAGCGCATAATGGCCATCATTATACTTACACCAAAGCATAAGAGTCATCAATATATTTCTTCTAGAATTCCAAGAGGCCGGAGTGCACTGCCATGCACGTTTTACACAAGGAATTAAACTACCAACGATCTAAGCAACTGGTCCCATGGGCTTCTGTGGAAGTTGTACCCAGAATTGGTATATGTGTAAGCACATCTGTGTGGCGTTACATTTAAGAGGATTGCACACCCGCACACTTCCTTTGCATTAATGAAACGTACTAACACGGTCACCACACAAATTGGGAAATTGAGGTCGTTATTCAAGAAGACATTTGACTGCACATTTTAAGCCCTAATGAAGCTACCAAAAGGCAAGTATGTATTTAAGTGTTGCCACACGTACGTTTGCATTTCTTGTTTCAGTCCAGTACTAGTGAAAAGGTAGAGGGCAACAGTTCCCTACGGTCACCCTGCGAGGCTCCCGGACATCTCGGCAGCACCATCTAGTGACTACTGCTGATCCTCTCCACTAGTGAATCGCTTCCTACAAAAGGGGGTTTACACCGTAACAAAGGGTGCAAAAGGAACCTCGCAGCTGGCTTGTTTCCTCTCTCGTTGTTGAGACAATTCAGTTCAATTTTCAGTGCACGTACCCAAGAGCTGTGTAATAAAGGTAGCTCAGAGGTTACTATTCTCAATTCACTCTTGCACCTCTACCACTAAACCAGGAGCAGTCTCACCCATTCAGATGAACATGGATTTGGCAACCACTAAACAGAAGCCATGGAGGTGAAATACAGGATGAACTTCAGAATCGTCATCGGAGAGGGGAAAAAGTAAATTTTCTTTCGATTTAATCAATGCTGAAGCAAAATATCAACGCTGTCAGGCAGCTAGTTGAGATTACCACTTCACGTCTGATAAGGACCTCATTCCCTTGGATGGTATTGCCTGCTGACCTGTCTGTTTCATCTGTTTCTTGTATTCTTTGTTGTCCAGCAACATTTCTGTTTGCACAGTTGTACAACACCTAGCTCAGTTGGGGCTTCTTATATAAGTAAGGCCACAATCAACACTGAAGAAGGTAGACAGGAGATGACAGATCTCTGGTAGAATAGCATTAAAAAAAACCTCAGGGATTTAGGAACCAAGAAGGTAAGTCACACTTACAAAAGGGGAGGTAATATATAAGTATACAGCAATATTGAAGTTACAGTTGTGAAAGTTACAGGATTGCACTACCGATCTCTTAAATGGAAATACTATTCAAAGAGGTAGTATGTAGAAATAGCGTTGAACACATCATTGCAAAATCCCAAGAACTGGAGAATTATAAGTGATCAGAAGAGAACTACAGTCATGATTCAAGTTCTGGGAACCACGCTTTACAATGAGAGCCTTGAGCAGCTCAACTTTCTTAGTTTATCCAAGAGAAAAAAATAATTTCAAAATATGGTGGTCTCTTTGTCACTTGGAATCTTTAGGCCTACAGTGGGCATGTTTTTAAATGAAATTCTGATAGCAAAACAGAATTCAAGGCTTCATGCAGAGTAATTGAGTGAGATACTCTGCCCTGTGTTAGGGAAATAAACTTAGGTCATCATTAGTCTGTCTTCTGGATTGAGAAACTAAAACACAACAGCAAAAACTACTACGAAATGTTAAGACATTAAATTGTGAAGAGAAGAACCAAAAAAGGCATTAAGGGAGAGCAAGTTTTAGTCCAGAAGACCTCCCTACAAGCCAGATTCTCTACTACAGTTTAAAATAAGAAAGAAAAAAAGGGTGGGGGAGAGAGAAAGAAGGAAGATGGTTTATCTAAGAATGAGAACACACGCCAGAAGGCACGACCTCCCGTGTTGCTACTCCTGACTCAGCATTACCTGCGTAAGTTACTTCAGCCCTTTGAGGATTCCCACATTTGCGTTGTAACACGAAGATACTATCACTTGCAGCACTGTGCTGACTGACAGCAAGAAGACACGGACAAGATTTTTAGAACACTACAGAAGACAGCAGGTGCATCAGCAGAGCACAGTTTAAATTCCATCAGCCTGAGTACATAAAGTCATTAGCAGTGAGTGGTTCCACAGAGACTTGTGCCTAACTTACAACGTAATTATTTTTTTAAATAAAGTTTGATCTTGCAGCTATTACACGTAGGTATAGGTCAGGAAGACAAAGATCTGGTTTTATTGGCAGGCCACGTGACGGCACTCATACAGGCCTCTCCCAGTCAACATAAAGCAATTCATGAACGCACGAGGGCAGTAAAGCCCTTGCAAGACACACAGTGTCACGCAGGGTTAGTATTTCCCAAGGTTTCTTGTAGCCACTAGAAGGCTTTTATCTGTAAAAGACTCATACACAACACTAAGGGCTCTTCCAGGCAACAGATATCGCAGGAAGCAATAGAGACACATGATGCTAGGCAAATCAAGAACGTTTCCTTCTCCAAACATATACTAAGATCACAGCTAGAACCAGGTCCTGCTTGAAATCCTCCTTGTGTAAATTCAGAGGGCCTCCCTGAAAACGAAGGCTCTCAGAATATACATTGGCTCTGCACACGTAACAGGAAGTAACAAGGCTACCATTAAATCAGATGACTCCCAGTCTGGCTATACTCAGCTCAAGCACTAGCCTCTGTACGCGCATGGAGGAGGCATTATTCCCTATGTAAATTTTTGCACTTGGTATCAATCAGTGTTCCACTGGCTCTGCATACTACATAATTATACATAACATAGTAATAAAAGGTCATCTACACACTATGAAAAGCATTTTGGGCTCCCTCTCTACTTAACGCTTCCACAGTGGGTTTCAAAATGAGATATATAGGATATATACTTCATTCTAACAATGACAGGTTTTTTTCTTCCCATCCCCCTTTTAATTCCTCAGTTCTAATAAGTACATTATTTTTCTAACAATGAATAACTGGTTTGCAGCAGCAGGGAGAAATGTGGGGAAGAAACAGACAGGAATTGCATTTTTTTGTTTTAAAAAAAACAACAAACAACTTGCTCTTACTGGAATGATGGAGGCCGGGAGTCTCCAATGCCGCCTGTTCTCTCAATGGGTGGTGGAAGGTCAGCGTGGCTCTCGGTGCACTGGGAGCCAGTGTCAGAGTGGGAGCTTTCAGCCAGGACCAGCTGTCAACAGAAAGCACAGAATTACATACACTTGTATAGGTTTCCTCACTCTGACATAAGCTGTTCAGCCACTGCTTTGCTAAATATTCTGTGAGATCTAAGGGAAACTAGAGGAAAGGAAATGCTTAGTGTCTAGTTGTGTAGATTCCCGCCAAACTTTCATAAAATCAGGTTACATTCAATCTGAACACAAAAACATCATCAGCTAGGATACGCACAAAATTCCTGCAAGCACCACAGAATTTTTCCCATCTCAGAACAAACAAGCACACCAGGCAGGGCACGCACTTTTTCTTGTGACTCGTCACTACAGCGTTCTCTGAGTTTCCTAAGCATGCAAGTTGTCAGCATTCCTTCCAAAATGCACGCGCACTGTAAGACTGCACACTCAGTCCGGTTTTGCCTTGACAAAAATAAAAAGCAAAAGCTGAAACCTCACATTATGACATCCCAACATGGTATAACTTCTTATACAAAGACCCTCAAAACACCTGAAAATTCACAACCTCGTCTGCACCAATCACCAAATTTCAGAGTTGCAACCATCTCTGCTCAGAGTCTGAATTAAGAACAAAGTCCACCGAATCTGAACAGCCATAAACTTCAGGAGGAGGACCAGATTCCTGATGTTCATCATACTTGTCTATCTTGTACCCATTTTGTCTTAATGTTCCCTTAAGGCAGAACTGCAGGTAGCAAAAGTCATTTTCCAATCGTGCCATGAAAAGCAGGATATGCAGTGTGCACTCTTCTACAATTCTTAATGACCTGAAAAGCATGGTTTTATAAAAGTTATAAAAGTTTTATAAAACTACACTGCTGTAACTACCACCTTCAAAACTCCTCTGACACTGACATTTACATTCATGGAAGTTGAAAGTGCCTGGCAGCCTGTCAACTGGGGTAGAAGGAAAGGCTGCAGAGCACCCAACACAGCACTCGCATGGAAATAAGTAGTTGAAGATATGCTGCAACAATCAATCTTCTCATTACTAACACCAAGCATCTATATACAGCCTGGTGTGTTTGGGAATTATTATATATTCCAGCCCCATTACAAGGCAGGGTATAAAGTCTTCCTATAACAACTAACACCAGAGCCTATTATTTCTATTTCCTCAATCATTAATAGGGATGCTCCTGGATAACAGATCACAGGGTCATGGCACACAAGCGGCTTACTATACTCAATCTTGCTTCCAATAAATTCAGGACAGAAAGACCATCTCCGTTCAGTATGCCTAGTGTGACATCTTTAATCAGCAGATAAACTGACAAGAGAAAGAAGAATGAGTCTCTTCCTATCCCTGCTCTCCTGGTTTATAGCTCATTGTAATACACTGATTGACAGAGGATCTTACATTTAACTAAGATCTGATTTTACCCACTTATCTACCAGACTAGTATCTACTTTTCTGTATTAAAAAAAAAAAAAAAAGAGATGCTTTCTGTTAAAGGATCCTTTTGTACACCTAGGTGAAACTTAATTTTTTTTTTAATCTTACTAATGCTGGAAAAAGCTCCTGACTGAACTGTACACACAGGAACCAGACAGAGTGGGTCTTTTCTCTACCGTGATTCAGTAAATCTTTTTTAAGAAAATCAGCATTTGTGCCTCGGTTTCCTAACCCAGAAAAGCAGGATACTACCAATTTTGCACAACTGAGATTAAAATAATTAACATGTCTAAATGCAACTTAAATCCTAGGATAGAAGAACCATACACTGGGTATAGCACCACTACAGAAAAACAAACAATGTGCACTGGTCCAAGACTCCTTTTAATTTATCTCTGCAAACAGAATGCAGTGATTCCCAACTAGCAGTTCCAGTTCAACTTCACCTGCTAGATTAAGTGGTTATTTTTTATTAAAAAGCATAACGGTGGAGAAAGAGCTTCCAGTCCTCTGCCATTCAAACCAGGAAGGCAGATGACCAACATGAGAGGTTTTGCCCCAAATGAAAATAGAATTCTACCAACTGTAAGACTTGGTTAGTATTTTAAATGACTGTATAAAAATTAGTCTCCCATTAAGCTGGGCATCCTACGCAGACAAACTCCACCATGGACTGCCAGCACTTCAGAACAACAAGATCAAGAAAAAGGCAGGGAGGCAGCATTACCAATACCACAGCACTGGGAACAAATCAAAGCAAAATGAAGCAACTTGCTCAACCTCAGGAGGTTGAGGTTTATACCAGTTCTGAAAGCAAATTCAGACTTTATACATCCTAATCTAGATCTAGTTCCTTACTAGATACTTTCCTTACTGTATTTTGAATGTTTTTGCAAGAATGGAGGAAAAAACCCACCCAATCAGAAAGGAATCTAAAAACAATTCATGCATTTCAACAGTCCACTGACCACACACAACACTTTCTGGCCGCTACCAACAGAAATTAGACTTGAACTAGTGGCCTAATGTGAAAAGGTTTATATACTGTTACCAGTCCCCTGAGACATCTAATCACTTTGCTGAGTCTCTTTAAACAATATAAGGTCTTCAATTAAATAAATGCTCAAATAATGATATAGATTATTACCTTTCACTAAGAGGCAACAAGGTCTCAGCTTCCCTCTATTTTTAGCTGTGGAAGAACTAGCCCTGTATGAGAGATTCCAACTATAATTGGTTCATTTATCAAGGACTAATTCTAATATAATCATCGGATAGGTGCTAGCTGTTAAAGAAGGGGATGGAGAAGGAGAGGGAACAGGATAGGAGGGGACTGGTGTTCAGGAGGTAGTATATTACTCCTAAGAGCATATACCATAAATATGAGAAGGCACACAGACTGTCAAAAAGGAACTGCCTGAAGACAAAGCAGTTCTCCAGCACCACATGGAGTCAGCTGCATTATTCAAACTCTCTTATCACCAAAGCAAGAGCAACAGAGGAAACACTGAAGGGAAAAATAACATGAGCTTTCCTAATAACTTGATAATTAAGGTTTCTTTCTTTCACGTGGGGAAGTTAATGGGAGATGTTTAGAAAGCATGTTGGCATTATGGAGATGCAAGAATATCTCTATGCCTGGCTCATCCCCTGAGCAACTCTGTGCAAGTGCTTTCACTAACAAAATCAAACCAAGGGATAAAAAGAAGAAAAAAGAAAAAAAAAAAAAGAAACTGGGTATAGGCAAGTTCTATACATCCCTTCACCCTCTAAATTGCATCAAGCTATGCAAACAAGCACCTGGCCTGAGTTAGTTGAAAGCAGGAAAACATGTTCCTTTGAGCCTTTCTGCTGATGGCAACACCTGTCTCAAAGATGTGCTTGATACGAGAAGAGAGACGAGCCAACAAGACAAGTCCTTTCCATATTTCAGGATATTTGGTTTTAGTATTTCCCTGCTCCTTGAGGAAGAAATCTTGGCAATGCAGAACCCATTATGAAGGTAAGCCCACCATACTGATTGAGGTTGCAGATCACCTTGGGAGTGCTGCTCAGCAGAAGCAAAATCCACTGCAGCAAAGCAACTCCTTTGCGAATATTGCCCCTGGGCTGTGATTTCTGGAAGGAGAAAGCACTGGGTACCCGCTTCTTACAGATCTTCAGTGGGATTAGAATCACAAACAGTTGCAGACTGTGCCGTTACCATTGTAAGGGGAAAAGGGCTGCAGAAATTAGCCATGCTAATCTTTCAGCTGCATTCAGGAAATATACCACTTTAAACTTGAATCAGTTCACCACCAGATATAGTGAACTCAAGATACATCTGAGCTCAAGAAAAGAGGCTAGCAATATCTGCTGTTTCCGAGTAGCTTGCTAATCCTAGATAAAGGTCCTTCAGGTTTCAGGTAGTAAATCATAAGCACAACAGCCATAATGCAACAGCCAGCGCAGAACTTCTCATATTTAGTTTCCCAAACTTAAGATCCATGCTGGACTGGTTGTACTGCTAGTTGAAGCCTGGCCCAGGCATTTCCACACAAAGTACACTTACTGTAGTTTAGGCACATCCTTTGGGGTAGAATTTTGCCCCTGAGGAATAATAATAAATAAATAAATATATAAGCCCAAGAGTGTAACAGTTTAAATAGGCTGCCTAACATGATCTTACTCTTATGATAAGCAGGACCTGGGAGCTCCTGCAAGAGGACCTGACTTCAGAGATTTAAGCAAGAGAGCCTGAAGCAATTACATTGTTAAAACAAGACACAAACTGTTCAGCTCTTCCTCCGGTTACAAGTGGAGCACTCACTCTTCATCAAAGCTTTCATTCTTGACTTACAGATCTGTGTGTTCAAGAGCACTAGAACATAAATGGATGGCTGCAGACTGAATTAACAAAACCACCACAAAAGAGCATTAGAAAAACATTTGTTGTGCTGGAAAAGAAAATAGTAGAAGTGTGCAGTAGAAGATAGCACATGAAGCAAGATTATTAAGACTGCATTGTCTAGCTGATTTTTCCCAAGCATCAAAAGGATCAGAAAGGCAGTATGACACCTCACACGGTGGAATACTGGACTCAGCTGGAGCTTCATAGTGAGATAGCAGCCCTGCCTCCCTCCAGGCACCTCACAAAATGCCGTCATTTTGATGAGGGTTTGACGGTGACTGCAGAAAAGGAAGGTGGGGGTGTACACTTGTTGACAGAATTCACATGTCACTGCCCTGGCTACATGTGTGATCGTGCAGAATTGCTGCTCCCTGCTTTGCCATGCTAGCTAGGAGTCCCTCATTTCTTGCAACAATGAGCGACACTGAAAATCATTAAGTCCTATCAGCTTTAAGATAAATTGTGTCCTTTTGTCTGACAAGCTATGGTAGGAATAAAATGCTCCAATATTATACCACTTTGAACAAAGAAGATAATGCACTATTGAACTGACACATTATGGACTTCTCACTGTGTTTCCATGAGAAAAGTAGTGTTAACCCCAGCTTCCTGGCCAGAAGCCAGCCCTGACAATTCTATTTCACCCATCAAACTCCCCGTGTAGTTCTGACTGCAAGCCACTTTCAATCGTTTATCAGCAGTCCTGACTACCC